TTATGAGCAGTTGTTTACATGAGCTGTGCTACTGAAGCCCATGATTTCAACTCAAGCCAAGGGAATGTTCAAGTAGCCATGTCCTGATGTCATAGGAGCTTATAGGGATATAATGTTAACCCCAAAATACTGCACTTTCTAACATATCAATCTCTTTCTATCTTAGACATTTGTGAAAGGTCAGTCCTCCAGCTGGAATCTTGTTTGTGTAAAAATAAACGTAAAGTAGCTTGGAATATGACATCTGCCTCTTAGTTACCTTCTCATTCTCTATGCACTTGCATGATAGCTTCATTTTTGCGTATCAGCCATTTTCCAGCTCCATACAACACAACTTGGAAAAATGACTCACCTTCCCTTCCCCCTTTTTATAGCTAGTTAGAGTAAAGACTTATGCCATATATTGAGACATACAGGGCATTTATACACGTGCTCCGGGACTGGAGGGCATGGTGGGGGGGCACTTTAATTAGAGACGCTCTGAAATCCACTCTAAAGCGCCTGGAGCATCTTGTGCATCAGGATCCCCATGCTAGAAAATGGCTATGGGGGCGCACTATCTAAAGTTCATTGAACGAGCGTTAGATAAAGCACCTCTGCTGCAATTCTGAAGTGCGGGGATGCTGATACACGAGACTGATGAAGCACAGTAATTCCTATGCTCCAGCAGACTCAATTAATTGAGTAATTACATGCTGTAATTACAGTGTCAGAGGAGCCTCACTGCTTATGTATAGGGACCCATACTGCTTACTTTACAAACATCTTGCATGGAAGGTAGAGAGTTTACAGAAACAGTTATATTGACCTCAGTGTCAGTTTGTTATCCAAGGAAGGCAATTTTCAGTTATTTAAAGTTTTTTTCAGCATCACAGCTACTCTCTTCCCTTTAATTTTTGCCGCTTCAAAAATATCAAACTAAAATACAGAACCATAACTATTCTTGAGGCCCCTGAAGGGTCAATGCTAGCTTAAAAGCTATATACAATGGTTTATACTAGCGGTGTCAAACATATGACCCAGATCCAATGGGATCCAGCCTATGGAACCGTTACATCTGGTCCACTGATAGTCTGATGGGCTACTAAAAGTGCATCGCCCCTTGGCTCTATACTGCCACTTGCCACTGACACTGACAACTACCTAGCGGCACAGAACTTTGACCCATAGGTAGTGCCAGGGATGTGAGGCAACATGGGTCCGGGGGCGTTCAACTGCAAGGAACTGTGTTTGTGCAGTGCGGTGCCAGAGGCACGTAGCATGGGGCTCTGGCTAAGTGCAGCTCCGCACCCCTGCACACCTCCGCTCTGTGCCACTGCCCAGCCAGAGTTCCATGCAGCTGCATGCCCTGGTTTCTCAGATGCATGCACTTGCCTCTGTGCTGCATGAACATGGCTTTGTGCAGCTGCATGCCCCTGAACCCACAGATCTGGCCCTCGAGGAGCTTCTTTGGTCTGGATCTGGCTTTAGGCCCAGGGTGAGTTTGACACCCCTGCTTTATACAATCAGCATTTTTTCCTGATTAATACAACTTCACTGAACAAAGCTTCATTTTCAGCGGCATGCAATTCTGACAAGTCATCTTCACCTAGAGAGGAAACTGCTCAAAAAGAAAATTTTCAGCACACTAAGGGAAATTATTTTTTGCACTGTAACTATTTTTTAAAACAACTCTGAGTGTAGCGTTGAAACAGGAATTCATCTGACCTGTCTACAAAAATGTTGTGCCTTTATACCTTTTAAGCCATAGAGCGCACAAACATTTGTATACGTAACTTCAGAAAGAGATACCATATGAAAGGTTTTCAATGCCTAGAAACAGAGATAACTTGACTCCACCATTGTGCTCTGAATCAGAGGTAATTCATTAAAGGGTACTGGTAGTTTGGACCTCAAAATCTTTCTGATACAGAGGTAGGATAGCCTCTGGAATGTGAAGCATTTATCTTGCTCAGTAAATTAGGTCTGTAATTAAAAAAACACCGCTTAACTCTAAGGCCTTCAAATTTACTCAGGGGGCAACAGAGAAAAAATAGTTTACAACAGCAGTTCCCAAAAGAGGGTCCATAAGGCCATGGCATGGGATTCACATGTACTATCACCTCTTTATCACTGGTCTAGAAAGTTTGGAGCCACTAGTTTACAAAATATTTGTCTGGAGCACTTACAAAAACAAATACATTTTACAGGAACACCCCATCTTACTTGAATTAGGACGAGCCATTTTTAAGTAAAACCTCTGTTTCTTGGAAAAAGGAGTTTTAAGTCCACAGCATGTCTGGAAAACAAGCCTTCTAGTGGTGAACTGGAAGAGACTCATTAGGTTGTCTTAATGATTCTTTATCTGAAAAGAAGTCAAAAGAAAGTTGCACGAACATGTATGTTTAGTTGACAAGACAGTTGGGTGAACATATATCGAAATGGTCTTGTTCTGTGTCACCAAAAAGAATAAGTCACAGCACATTCCATTTCCTCCTCTATCCTATTCAGCTAGCCAAAACTTTGCTACGGGGAAAGTTCACAGCTATAACTTTTCAAGCTTATAGAGGAATTAAAATAATATGATAAAATATAGCACTGTTGAGATTTAATAGGCTTCTAATCTTTCCTTTTGGGAGAAAGGAGAGCATGCTATCCCCATATTTTGCTCAGGCTGTTTTCTCCTTGTAAAACAGACATCTTAAGCCTACTTAGCCTCAAAAAAACATGCCTCATGGTTCCAGCTCACATAAATTAATCCTTTCCATTAAAATCCTATGCAGCGACTGCTGAGTCCTTGCATTAAATGTATGCATTATGATATCAGAGCCTTGTTAAACAAACATGGTAGGCTATGCAGAGTTAGATGTACAAACATAATTCACAAGATAAACCCATAGGACATTTATACACATACTTTTCTGTCCTGTGACATGCCAGAGACTCAGTGCTTCATAGATTAATTGAGTCTGCTCCACACGCAAACTGAGGCAAACTGTGCTGTGCCATGTACGGTTGTATAAGTGGCGAAATGCAGGTCAGCACGTAGAAAGTGGCGGTGCGCTTTTGAACTAAAGCGCCTCCGATGTGTTTCAGTTCAAAAGTGCACCACTACCATTGTCTCAGTGCTGATGCACATTTCGCCACTTATACAACTGTAAGCGCTGCGCTGCTGGGCACTTTTCAAAGCATCCAGTGCTGTGGCGCTTGCATATGTAAAAATGCCCAGAGATTTCAAACAGGAATCCATGATGCTAAAAACATTATGACCTGCTGTGAACAGAAAAACTGCTCTCTTGTTTCTCCATAGTCAAAAAATGAGTAAAAAGTAAAAGCTATCCTTTTCTGAGGAGTGCCTCAATTCTAAAAAGGTTGAGAACAACTGATCTATAGAGCTGGGGGTTAATTCTAGGCTTTCAATCCTAGTGCTCAGCCTGCAAGAACAAAAAAGTAGTATTGATACAAATCTTATTTACATGCCAATTTCTTTTGCAGTGGTAAATGGATGCTCAATTTTTTTTAACAGATACAGAATCCACAAAAAACACAAATGTAACTGGATATCTGAAAAGGGAACATTTCTATTCCCTATAATTCATGTGCTCTTTCTGGCCATTTAAAGCCAAAATTCCTTCCATTTCCTCAGATGTTTTTACATTTCAGTCTAAAGAGAACTTTCCCTTACATTTTGAAATTGTAGAAGGGAAAAAAACCCACATGTATACCATCATTGTACATTTTCCTTGTATTATTGTTATCATCTTTCCTTTTCTTGTAGTAAAAGAATAATCTGGATAAAAATATTTTAAGCAATGGTAATTATCTGCTCTTGATGGTAAGGTAACTATGATACAAAATTTACTGCACATAAGTTCATTATTGGCATCACAGTATAATAATTTTGTCTGTTAGATCAGTGGTCTCCAAAGTGGGGTACACGCACCCCAGGGGGTGTGCAAGACTATCCATTGGGGTGCAGGAAGAAAATATTAGAACTTCTACTTATATTTATATAAGTATACATATATTGGGAGTGCATGCTCAAAAATTTTTTACTGATAGGGGTGCGCGATCAAAAAAGTTTGGAGACCACTGTGTTAGATTACAAGCATGGATTTTGTAAAAGCATACATCGCGAATTATACTCAAAATAGATGGTATACATATAACTTAGACAAGAAACTGTCATTCAGGGCACACTGTACCATGCATCAGACATTCCAGTGTTTAAAAGAAGTGATTAGAACAACAACAATCAATAAAATAGGACCACTTAGGGCCCAATTTCTCACTACAGGTGAAAATGTGCTTGGGCTAATGGGCCTCTCACTGCAGGTAACAGCTTGTCAGATCAAGGCCTTGATTTAAAGTCACATGATCAGTTGGTATTCCTGCAGGAACCCAGCTGTACACAACACTGTGGCCAAAAGCCATATTTACCACGTTACACCAGGAGAAAGCACTTATGAAGATAAAGTGCTTCACTTGTGCTTTTCCAGACTGGCAAATTGTACTGGCCAAGAGCTTTGGAACAGAATTTTGCACCTAAGTAGGCACAATTTAGCACCTTGAAAAATGTATATTATCTACTTGGAAGAAGCAGAGTGTTTTTGATGTTTATTGGAATAACTGTATAGAGGTGTTAGACAAGCTTCTGGGCACAGAATGCCCTTCTTTAGCTATACCACCAAAAACAAAACAAAAAGACCCCTACCTTTCACATATTCCCTGGACCATCACACAGCTACAACACTCCAACCTGACTTACCTACTTGGTGTCAGCCTATGGCCCTCACTCCTGTCCCCGTTTCATTTGTTTTTTGTTGCTGATCCATGCAATCAGCAATATGCCCTTAAAGGCCCCCATCACCAAGGGAGGCTTGAAGCTCTACCTGGTGGTAGAGCTACATTACAGAATGGCGTATCAAAGGCCTGCACCACAGAGGCAGAGAGCAGGTGCTGAAAGGGAGTGTGAAGGGGCTTTGCCCACTGTTGTGCTGTCCCTTGCAGCATTTAAGGTCTAGGAAGTGCTAGTTCAGAGGCCGTACTCCTAACTCCCATGCTCAATCACCATGAATGCCTCCTTTCCTCTAAGAATCTCCATCCTCCGTGGCTGTTAAGCCCTGGGTAGACAAAGCCTTGGCTGGGATGACAAAGGGCTGGTCCTGCTTCAGGCAGGGGTCAGACCAGACGACCCCCTCCCAACCCTCATTTTTCTTCCCCACCCAAGGAGGAGAGAGGCTGAGGAAACTGGGCTTATTTAACCTGCAGAAGAGGAGACTGACGAGGGATATAATAGCAGCCTTCAACTACGTGACAGGGGCTTGGAAGAGGATGGAGCCAGACTGTCCTCGGTGGTGGCAGATGACAGACCAAGGAGCAAGGGTGGCAAGTTGCAGCAAGGGAGGTTTAGGGAAGCCGGCACTCGGGGGTCACCTACAGAGGTGGGGGCAGCATCTCCATCCTCAGAGCTGTTACACCCGGGTAGACAAGACCCAGCCGGGAGGACGCAGCTGGGGCTGCTCTAAGCAGGGGTCGGACCAGACCACCCCTCCCAGCCCTCATTTCTTCTTCTGCCTGCACTTCCTCTTCCCCATCCTGCCCCCTTGAGCGTCTCTTTGCCAAGCGGGGCAGGCCGGGCCTCCCCGCTCCTGCCCAGCCCGAGGTCGCGCCCAAGGCGCCCCTCACCCAGGCGGGCCGTGGGGGCTGCACCGCGCCCCGGCCGGAGACGAGGGCGGCGGGGAGCA